GCATTAGTCACGCAGGCCACATTCTTAATAAAGGGGGTGATTTAGGAATTTTATATTATTATTTTTTCTTTTTTCTTTGTATATACAAATCTACAAATATTTCAACGCTAATAAAAAAACATTAGAAGTATTATATTATAGGCTTTGAATAAAGGCGGTGAATAAAGTGAAGCATATGCTTTGAAAAATACGTGTAAAGATATATAGCAATCGCGAATGCCTGAAGTTAATAAGTTTGCTCTTATAAAATAAAAAAAGAATGAAAAGTACGGACTCTCTCTCTCTCTCTCTCTCTCTCTCTCTGTACACTATAATTTTATACACGCTTTAGGTAGACGACGTTAACAAGGAAATAATTTGTATGAAACAAATGCTTTGTAAAATAAAGCAAAAGATTATACGAGATACGTAGAATATGCTTTCATTTTATGCTCTTATTTTAAAACAAATATATATACTTTTATTTTGCAAAAGTGAATTTACTTTATTTTATATTTACGAGTCATTTTCTTATTGTAAAAATCATCGTGTCCATATACCGCATAATTAATTTTCTATGAATGACATTACAAAGCACGGCATAAACATACAGAAAATACGTGGCTTTAGTAAAAAACTTTAATAAAGTATAAAATGTTTATATTATAACTGACTAATTAGCGTAATGTAAGCGCGAATACGTTTTACGAGTTGTTAATTAACGTCACGAAATGTCTCATAATGGTCCATTAAATAATATTTATTAATATTATTTAATATTAATATTAATATTAATATTACTTATTAATATTATAAAGTAAACTGGAATCTCTCAATAAAACAATATTCCTATTAAATGATGAAAGCGTTAATGCTAAAGAATCCTTCAATCTCGATATCACCATTTGATATCACCATTTTCCTTTCTCAGCAGTAGATCTTGATGTCTCGCAAATGTGCGTGCCGCCGCAACTCCAGACAGGCGAATAAAAGCGCACACATACAACAGGAGCTATAGCGTTTGCTCTTATTGTGGGACGCCAAGTGCAAACGACAAAACGTGCATGATGGAAGTAAATCGTTCAAAACATCCTGTGTGTATCGCGTAAGCTATCATTAAATAAGGATTTTACGGAAATGTAATACTCTACGCTTGAGGATTGACATCATTTTACGTCTCTATTCGAATCGATAATGTTCTGTTGTCAAAACATTACACTGTTGAAAATATTCTCTGCGGCTAACGATTTTCTCGAAAGTAATATTCTTAATGGCGCATGATGCATTACCTTCGTGTTTTATCAAGTTTTACACTGCACATCTGAGCTTATTAATCTCGTACGTAATCTAATTGCACTTAATTCTTCAATGACTGCAATTATAGTATATCGCTTTGTATACATACGTAGACTATGACAGATGTTGTCTATAATAAAAGATTGCGGTGAAATATATCAGACCCAGAGTTTAATCAAAAGATAAAAACTTACGAGGCACTATGTGTATTTTAAGTCATTTACTTTTTATCATGTTTATCGTTTGCACTTGACTTCGCACAACGGCATAAAATGCTACGCTTCTATTCTTCTACCTGGGACTGTTTGAGAGATACCGAGCATGAAAATTGTTCATTTATCTTAATATCCTGTTCCAAATGCGCCGTGATGTAATGTAAAGCGTCATGCGGTTTTTTACTTTAAATACAATTTTCGTGTAAACCTGGCAGCATTTCGTTTACGGGTGATAGACATTTTCATTCATTATGCACGTGAGAAACAGAAGGTGTGTCACACCGGGAAATTAATTCCTTCCATCCAGCCTGTATTCCCGGGATACAATCATCACAATTCCGCGAATGTCGTAACATGTGAATGCCATAATTTTCTACCGGTGACATACCATTCTTCATGCTCCACTCGCGATGATCGTTCGGTTCGATAATTTCGTCACGGTTTCGGCGAAAGGAAATGGGAATATCGACAATCGTCGTCTGCATTCGATCTGTACTGTAAATCGAAAAGTGTGCCGTACACTTTGTTGAATAAATTTTCAAAGATCAATTTACTTCTAACTTTCATTGACTATTATTTAGCAATTGTTATTGTCTAGAAAAGAATATGGTATGCAGTATAGAGGATGCAGCTTCGATGACATATGTTGTCAAGGTCATGACCCTAAACAACATTCAAAAGGTTATAGCCGTCGCTCATTTTTTATTAAAAATTATATTAACAAAAAAAATTTGAAAAATATAGCAGTTATTTTGAATATTGAAAGGCATAAACGACTAATATGTAGGTATGTAGAAATAGCGTACATGCATAAACGAAGGAAAGTTATTTAAAGTAGTGAATATATGTATGTTGATATATTGAACAGTCTTTTTGTTAAAGCAGAAAATAGTTGGTATAGAAAAATATATGTACAATTTTATGTGTTAGAGTTAGAAAGCATAAATGTAAAGTATTCTCTGCTTTAACCATAATTGTATGATTATAATTGTTACAATTAAAGATAGGGACTGTGGCCAGCCCACATAACAATTAGTTTGGGTTAGGAGGGCTGTTGTGTAATCCACCCACACAACAATTGGTTTGGGTTAGGTTCTCGGTTAGGATAGAATCATTGGATGAAAAATCTTTTTATATGGAACAAACACAATTTTATTGTAACTCTTGATAAGAATAATTGTAATAAAAGCTAGCTTTCTCGTTGACTGATTATTAGTTACGTATATTATTAAATGATAATGACAACCTTTTTTTAATTTGCGATCAAGATAAAGAAATCTAAATGAAAAATTCCTGAAACAACATTTGCGAGAAAGTGTTTGCAAATATTTGATACTCGATAAAAGGATATATGCAATGTTGACTTTTCCATGGAATAACTTGCTGTACAGTCTTCGGGTTGTGATATTAAAGTATATATTTTGCACTGTATCATAAAAGAGGCAGTCATATGATATAAAAGTCTATGCACAAGTTACACGCAAGAAACTTGGAAGCGAACAGCTTTTAGAAAATCGCTGTTTTCATAGATACCCTGCGAAGCATGATAAAATATGATATAGACTATATCATGCAGGAATGTAATACAATGGAAGATGATGTATTATGTGAAATGATGTGTTAATAACCCGTAAGCAAAAAGTATAATATTAAAAGTAAAAGTGCGGTTTAAAAGATTTTAATATACAGCTCAAGAATTTATCATCCTATTAGGAAATACGTAAAGCAGATATAAGTAATTTATATGGCTTAATATGATCCTGCCAATTTTAGAATTGAGCAGAAAAGTTAGATTTAAGATTAATTACGTAAATGCGAACCATTGATCCTTCACGTATTTGCATCTTTGAATATGAAAGAGCTTAAACTATTTTTAAACGGTTGGTCATTACAATGTTTAATACCGTCTATCCGATTATTATGCGATGTTGATACCTGGATTTAATACTTGTATAATAAATCATTCCCTTTTGCTATCTTAAATACTGCCACATCTGCTTTATCACGAACTGCATTCTATATAGCTCTTTCAAATAACGGAATTAATGTAGGACGTACTAAATATAAAATGCTACATCTATACCATACTTAAATCTAGATTTATGGATACATTGAGAAATTTGGGTGTTGCATTTTTATGCTTTATTTTATAAAACTTTTTTCTGCTTTATGTGTGTATATACATATAAAGTAATTTATTTATTTATTCATGATTTTAATATGAAATTGGTAATTTATTCATGTATTATCTTTTCTAATATATACATAAATAATTCTAATAATAATTTTAATATACATGAATAAATTATTTCATATTAAAGTTATAAATAAATAAATCTGGAATGCTCAAGAAAAAAAAGATAAAATTAACATCAAAAACATTATATTATTTAATAAGAAAGTACAGAAAAGAATATGTATTATTTCTAAAATTTATTTTTAAATTAATTAATTAATTAATTAATATATATTTAAGTTAAAAAAAATAATTAAAAATGTAAAAAAAATTTTGCAAGTGAAAATTATAGTCGTAAATGCAGCTATCATTTTCATAGAAATTGTTTAGCATCCTTGAAAGATTAAATCTTATACCTGTATGATATTTTCATCAATATAGCTAAACATAATAGTAAGTGGTTATCTTAGAAATAGCGATATGCAATGACATTTGCATAGATAAGTAATGCACTGGTTCACGATCGATAAAAAAATAGGTTAAAGAACCAACTGATATTAATCGTGCAGCAACATCAAACTGATCCATAACTTAGGTCATTATAAATAAGTGGAGAAGATTTAAATATAAAGATTATAAATAAATTGGCGAGTATTCTAGAAATAATTATTGCATTTAGTAGTTTATTTAACATTTTTTAAAACTTATTCTTTTTTCTTTCTTTTACACACAAATATAATCCGCAGTGATTGGCATTGTAATGAAGATTTTATTCTTTTCTCTTCATTCCCTACAAATATTAACTTATTAAAATAGATTCATATATACTTAATTCTTTTTTAAAGTCTTGAATGGATTTATATATATTTTGCATAGCATTTTATCTGAATATTTGATAGTGAATTATACGATGTTACGTTATATTTGCCGCTTCTGAAATAATAATAGAGATCGGTAAGGAAATCAGGTTTAATTCAATGCGCGTTATTTCTTGTCGTGTCATAAATGAATGTAGCTATAGCGCATTCACTTCTGGAATATGTGGAGCCATTATTGTTTGTGCGTATGCATCTTGAAAGCAGTTCTTCTCGTTAAGTTTTTAAAAATGCGCATTTCGCCGCATCTTTAGTTTAATTTACATACGACAATTTGAAATAAATAAATTATAATTAAAATATTTTCGTACTTACGTTGAAAAAAATGCATTGCGATAATTTTATACAATAGGTAGGTTAAGACATTACAATTATCATTAGCAATAATAACTTTAAATAACTTTATTACAATATGACATCTTATAATAAATATGTATATCTATAATAGGTACACTTAAATATTTTTGGTTTTATATATTTACCTTAAACTCAGAATTGAGCAAAAACGATAATAAATATTATTTTATTAGAAAATTAAAAAGTTATTCTAAAGTTATATAAAATGCATATTGTTATTTCGTTTTCGAGCATTATATTTTAGCGTAACATAATTCGCCACCAAAACTTCAAAATTTATAACAAGCTTCCACGCGCACTAATGATTTTTCATATAGAATGACACAATACAAAATAATAATTTAGCAGATAAAAGATGACAAGGAAAAACGATATACTTAATAACTTTTTCACTTCGACGAAATAATGTAGCTTATATGAAATATCCGTTAATTAAAATGCTACATAGGCAATTAAAAGATTTATTTGAAATCCATTAGGAATATTAAACGTTAATGAAAATATTTTTGCATAACGTTAATTGTGTTTCAATATATTTGAAATTGTATTCGTGATAAATAATACATTATTAAATAATAATATGTAACGCGATTTTTGCGAGTTCTCTCAAAACTTAAAACAAACGTGCCTATGTGTGCGTATATGTGTGTATTTTAAAAAGCGAGCATCATCCCTAGTGCAAGAGACAAAATCGTTACATTATATATCGTTTGAAAATCGCTAATAAGTTTTATGCTGTGTACCGTAGAGATAAAAATTTGCTATATAGAACGATCAATTCCGATTATTCGATTTCTACTGTCTACTTTTATTTCTATTCTAAATCTAACAAATATTTACAAAGAAAATTCAATTTTATTAAAATAACGTTGATTGACGGGAACAAATTATGTTTATTTCATAATAGGTATGTACAGAATTTTGTCGTCATAATATAGCGCGATAACAATTTCGCGAGAGTAAGGAATGTTATCATAAATATACAAGATGAATATTTGTATAATTATATTATATTAAATACGTTTGAATATTAAATGACATCGAACTTTTTTCTGTTACAATTCTGTCATCAGTCTCATTTAAGAGTAAGAAAATAATATCTTTTAAAAGGAGAAGATAGAATGTTATGCTTACTAACTTATTATTATTGGCCATTTAAGAATCGTGCAACCAGAATTACGCTCATGATAATTGCTCATGATAAAGCTCGTTGCAAAGCATGAAGATGATAATATTATGATATAATATGATATTATCCGTAATGTGTTGTTCTCGTAATGTATAATTAAACTAGAATTCAGATTATAGCGATGTCCTCTTTAGTTTGGAGCCCCTCGCACATTGTTCGAGCATTCATTTTAAAGGTTTGTACCTGGCTTTCGGCCACGCTTTGTCGCCATCTGACAGAAGTGGATTTAAAACGACCTGGAAACAAAGCAAAGTTCGCAAGTTCAAACGTTTACTGTTGTCATTTGTTCTAAGCCGACTTCAAACAGTTGGGACACGCATTATGGAAAATTCCTTTTCTTGCAGAATATAAATGACTACTGAAAAAAAATTGTATTATTTGAACTTGAATTTGAATTTTGCATTGTCTGAATTTGTTAATTACTTTTCACGATCAAAAGAGATAAATTTGTAATATTATTCACCCGCATTATATACGTAATCTTTTTTTACGTAGTACACATATATTCGCAATACTGGAAGTAAATTTTCCAATAGCGTTCTCTCTGACCAATCTGAGCCGTTAATTACAATGATTGAAGTAGGAAATGACAAATTGAGGCACAAATTGGTTCACGCCTGGTCATTCTGTTTCAAGTCTATTTTAAATTTAAAAGCTTTTCAAAGAAATTTTTTTCCTAATTTTTATAATACAAATGTAAAAGAATAACAAAATCTTGGAATACTATTTTGTGTCTATTATACAATATAAATTAAGAATTAGAATATACAGGATATCTGATAATATGTGTAATAGTCGTCGATAGATAGAGGAGATTAAAAATTGAATAGAAAAGTTCTTTACTCTTTTGTGATTTTTGCTTGATAAAGATTCGCGAAAAGTTCTGTATTAATTTGCGATTACGGCAATAAATAATAAGAAATTAATTGATGAAGATCAGCGTGCTTCCGCGCGATTCGGCAAGAAGATAGATAGCCCCAGAATTTGCTACGCATTAAGAGCCGCGAGACGAGGCATTAGGAGAAGTGATCTGTAAACAACAATGCACGGCTATGCACATATGACGCATGACGCATTCGAACTTCCGCGCACGTAGCAACTGTAAACACCGGGCTGTCTTCTCTCGCCTAGAATACCTATGATAAGAGTATGGACAATGCTGTCGAGTTTTAATTGGCTCTTTGATTTGCCATATGTAATAGCCCAGATAGCAAAAGATGTCACAGGCCGATACACAGTCGGTTCTTATATTTAAGACCGTCTTAAGCACAATCTTAAGATGTCATTAACCAATCACAAAGCCATATTAGGATCTTAAGACATTACTTAAGACGGTCTTAAAATAAGAACCGACTATGAATACCGGCCATAAAGATGTTTTTACGATGTCCTTTAGACATCGTAAAGACATCTTTATGACATGTTTTAAACATGTGTGCTATCTGGGCTGTTACATAATCGTAATCGTGCTATCTGGGAAAGAAATAGAAGAGAGAAAATAGAATTTATTATTGCGTATACTAATAATATAATACAATAATATTCGCGTAATTTTGAGTTTTAGTTAATAAACAATGTTATATAAAAAATTCTGTTGAGGCTAATTATTATATTTTGCTATTTCTTTATGTGACAAACAGAATGATGCAAGTTATTATAGGTTATACGTTGTCAGGCATACTTCATAAGTTTCATTTAATATTACAATGTTGCTATTATTGAATATATTATAAATAATAAAATATGGACCTTTTTTTTAATTTACTTATTACTTTCATAATTCCTTATTAATAGAGGTTCCCTATATTAACGGCGGACAGTGTCCATTATACTCTTATTATAGGTACTCTAATCTCGCCGAATCGCGAAAGCACGCCGATTCGTGGATCTATGTAATTAATTTCTTATTATTTATTGTAATTATCATAATTGTAAAATAGGACTATTTAATTCATAGCGAATTCGGTTGGACGTACTGGTGCGCACTCAATAGTGCACATTAAAACCGTCGTATACAAATCAGCGTAAGGTGTATGTTTAATATAAACAAGTTGTCACGAAATCCTTAATATTCTTTATGTACTATTTGGTAAAATATGTATTGGGCATTTTATCAGTCGAAATATTTGCATTTTACTTTAAATATTATATAGAGCTTAAATCAGTGTACAACGACTTTAATGTGCACTGAGTGCGCACTGGTGCGTCCAACCGAATTCACTATCATCAGTTTAATCTGCTCTATCTACTTATGGTGGATTGGCGGATGTTACATTTATTATACAAACATTCTGTAGGGTAACTCGGAGGAATATGCCACACTTAACAAAAATTTGATTTTTTTCTATTTTTTTTTCTCTTTGAAGTATCTTTGCATACTGGTCTTCTTTGTCCTTCTTTTATCTGTCATTTGTACATGATTTTAATAAAATATTTTGATTGCTTACTATTAAAAAGAAAGAAATACAAAAGTGTTGCAAAATGGCATATTACTCAACCATATGGATAATATGCCATATAGTATAAAATAATATATACCACATACAAATATGATAGTAATTTAACTTTAAAAGTTACTTTATTTATAAAAACAGTACAAATAGTCTTTAAAATGAGTCAGTACAAATAGTTTTTAACATAAAAAATGAGATTTCAAAATTAAATTGTAATATTAAAATTATTGTAATATTGGATTGCAACAATTAAAAAATCAATCTTAAAAACTGTAAAACCTTACAAATTTTAAAACCTTATAAACCTTGAAAACTTTGTAAATTTTATAACTTTAAATTTTATAACTGTCAGCTACACTTTTTTCAACTACATTTTTTTTCTTTTTAGTCCTCGTATACATTTGAGACATTATTATTTAAAACATGTGTTTTAAAACGTGTAAAAAATGTGTTTTTATTACTTTCTTTGAATTTCAATAATATTATAAAAATAAAAACTATAATACTGCCAGGAAATAAACAAAACTTGTGCAAAACATCAAATATAGAACTATGAACAATTTCACGCGGTATTTACAAGAGCGTTTTTAGCCGTTATGCTTTGTTAAACGTAACGAGTGGCATCCCCACACTGGCATATTCCCCCGAGTTACCCTATATACAGAAATAAATCATATTGACGTATTGTCCATAATTATTAATTAACAAATATTAAATAATTTGATAATTATTCTGTACAAATATTGTGTAGCTTTATATTCTTTGATTATATTGTGTTTTATATTGCAAATGTAGTGCAGATAATTTATATTCTTAGTCATTTATCTCATAATATATGATATTTTAGATTATACTGTCAAGCTGAATAGATGTGTCTTTTTAGAAAACTGCACATATTGTTGCGCGCTTTTGTAGACTTACACGAAGACAATTTCACATTGAGAATAATGATGAGATTAGATTAAACAATATGTCTTTGCCTAGAGGCTGAAATTCCGCGGATAGTTGATGTAACATATAGCGCGGTGACTTAAAACTCAACGTTACCTCTGAGGTTTTACGATAACATTCTTCAACATATATTTATCGCATCATACGCTAAATAAAGTATGCGAAATACTTGCTCGCAAGTATGTACAAAATAGACTATCTTTCGTTATATGTATAATGAAAATGTTTTAAGCGTGAAAAGAGAAAAGAGGGAAATAAATTATATGTATAAATCTTACAGTAAATGCGCTTTTGTTCTGTTTGATCAAAAATAGTTTAAAAAATATGAGCATAAATATTAAAACGTGATTAAAGAGCGATAGCTCCTAAAAATACGATCATGGAAACAATAAATTGGTGTACACTGTACACATAATTGTTGTTAGATTTTATTTTTGTGTTTAATCGTTTTTTGATCATACGACATTGAATTTTAAAGATAAAAAGTTTCTTGCTTTGTTATGTACAATTTTTAAGCTATAAATCTATAAAATATTAAAAGTAATGTCCTTAGAAATATTATAAATTAAACGATAATTTTATTGCCACATATTTTTTTATAAATACGTATTTCGAAAATTGTATTTGTGAATATGTTTCTTCCAAAAATGAATTATTAATTTTACAATATAGAATTTATTATTTATAATTGTAGACGCATATGTTACTTTACTATTTTGTTATAGTTTAGAAATTACACATATACGAGGAAATAGAAGGAAATGCCCTTTTGCCTTTAAAGTTTGAATGTCATAGTTTCAAAGGCGATTGAACACGGTTGAAAGATGCCGCTATTTTGCTATTGACTATCTTTTACATCTGTAAAGTTCCATCCGCAGTAAGGAGTTTGCGACACTGCTTCATGTGAGACACATGTATAATAAACAGAAATTAAACGGAAAGCTTTTGATATGAAATATTCTATTTTTGAAAAGATAAAAATAAATTGTTGAAAAAGCTTTTGAATTTATATAGACGAGATATTTGCGTTTATTTGGACGATATACTTTTGATTGGCGAATCGATATTGCCTGTCACGTGGCATTTTGGACGAGATAATTCGGTGATTGACTTTTTTGATTTGTCACATACAATTTTCATTGTGTCAAACGAATCATATCATCGAATTATTGTCAAGAATCATTCTAGATATTATATAACAACATGTGTCAGCAGCAATTGTAATTGTGCAGAAAGATCTCGTAAAAAATTATATTTTATTAAAAATAGAAATAAACACGTAAACGCGTAAATTTTTCTTAAATAAATATTTTGTTCAAAGCAATTTGTGTTGCCAAGTCCGATCTTAGACAGACGTAAATTAATTGTAAGGAGAAATTTTACTCACCTGAATTGCATGGCATGAGCTCTGAACGTTGAAATCCCGCCAATTCTTGAGTTTCATGAGTTTGCACGTTCGTCCGATCTATCACGCAGCAGCATTTGCAGATTACCAATTCAAAGTAAACTCGAAACCTGTAACAGTTAATGGGTTCTATGATAATTATATTTTGTAAACAACACTCTGTTCATACAATTAACCAAATTACAATGCATTTAAGCAAATTATCGCTAATGTTATAAGACAACGCGGTTTGCGTGGTCACACACACAAGTGAAATTTAAATTAAATTGGAGAAAATGATCGCGAGCGAGATTAGTACTTTGAATTCAGATCAGGTAATAATAATCCCCACATCTATTTTTACCTTAAAATAGAATCAATTAAAACTTTCAAGTAAAATTGTATGTAAGAGATCCCAGAGTGTGCTATATTTGTAATATAGCCTTCGCCATTCTTTAGACCTACTATTTTCAGCAGATCGATGATTACATAAATTTTCTATGTCTTTTTGTTGAATATGTTATATTTTTATATCACTAAAATTACTTGCATTAAAGATAAAAATATAGTAAATTTTAGTTTATAAATGCATATATGGACATATATCTAATGAAGGTATACCTTTATTATATGAATATATTTGATTGTTATTATAAATATTTTATATTGATATTAAATATAATAGGCAGAAAAATAAATTCTTGAAGCTATTAAAGATTGTTATAACATTAATTAAAGGGATCTCGCTCGTGTCTCATAACAACAAAGAACAAACAAAGGCCAATAATCGAGCAAATAGTAGATGTCAAATTAAAAGAAGAAATAGAAAAAAAACTGTTTTTTATATCTACTGTTTGCTCGATTATTGACCTTTGTTTTTCCTTTGTTGTTATAACATTAACTTGGGCATCGCGTTAATTGTATTCTCAAAGTCACCTTTACTTTATTTATTAATTTCTGAAAGCTACATTTTTAAAATAAATCTTTCCAATCCAATTATTTCTTGCTACAAAAATAGCCAGGACAATTACTGACTTGAACGTAAACAGCACGTAAAATACATTGGTTAGGTTCCCAGACATATAGCCTTGGTAAATGACCTATTTTCTTATTCGACTTCCTGACCAGGGTCTTGACAGCTCGTTCATAACACTCTTAGAGAGCTATGGCAAAGTTCTGTTTTTGCTTTTGTTAGACAATGCATAGACATTTTCTGGATCTATAGAGATGTGCTATAGAATTCTAATACGTGTTATAAAAGCAATTAATTGCTCTTTCAAAATTCTTATAGCTTTTCTCCTAATTTTCTTCAAAATATGACATATTTTTTAACTTAATTTCGGAAACTGTTAAAATCAGCGTTACTCCAAATTAAGTGAAAAATTGAATTGATTAATGATTCTTTGATATTTGTATATATATGTATATTGAAAAATATTTAATTAATGATGTTATTATTTGAAAATATCATTAATCAAAATTTAAAAAGAAACGTAATCCATTATATAATTGTATTAAGTAAATGAATTCTCATACATAAGATTTATTAATATTAGAGAGCAGTATAAAATAGCACGTGTTTTTTCTTCTATTTACAATTCAAAGAGATCGATTCATCTAGATGTGCCAACGATGGTGAGTCGGTGTTTTTCACAGTTTCTGAAATAACCGAGTATTACAATTGTGCAAATATTTCTTTGTCGCATAGTTCGAATGGAGCGTACGATCGGAGATATCTCAAAAGTTATCTCAAGGGCAGGCCCATCCACTCGTATAATGCTATTAAATCTGTTGATCATTTATTTTTCTTATTTTTGGAGCGGAAGAAAACAAGAGTAGAAACAAGTATGTATTCTGGAACTATAATAGTAACATAATTCCTATTTATGGAGCGGAAGAAAATAAGAACGGAAAACAAGTATTATGGAACTAATAATAACATATTTTCATGAAAATGTTAATTACATGTATTTAAATAAAATAAATATTAAAAATGCAGAAACTTAATGTTTTGTTATTATATAAATTAATTCCGGATTTTAATTTTGCCTTACGAAAGAGTAAATATTATACATTACCAAAATTTTGAAATTACTCTATAATTAGATACTTGTGCGATAAAAGTGTAATAAATTAGTCGTTTGTTATGTGGTCTTAAAATATTATTGTGATACAATTAATTGTAATTAAAATATAATATTTTTATTGGAATATTAGAATTACCAAATGGATATAGCAAATATTGTTCATAAAATTATTATTTTTTTCCACCAATGGATAAATATAAAATTTAAAATTACAAAGGGAGCAAACAGTTGTACGAATCTCATGGTAATGCACACATTTTATGTATTCGTAAATTTAAAGAATATTAATCACAATTATGTAAAATTCATGTATTTAATATGCAGGCTCTATTCATTAATTAGTCAGGTAGTAAAACGTTATAAATCATACCGAATAATGACATTTTATTATGCCAACGCCAGCAATGTCCATGTTCGTGATTGTTATGCGATTGCGTTATGTCATTTTAATAGGAATGATAATTGAGTTCATATAGCTCTGCCGTGTACGTTGTGGTAACTGTGTTGTGTGCAATGGTCCTTGGGTACACAATGGTAGAGAAATGCAAATTTTGTATATGATATTATGGCGCTTTCGTAGTTGAAGATGTTAGATTTCGAATTCAATCAATTTCCTTTTGTGACACAAGATGCTAAGTCTTTGAAATGTGTATTTACTCACGCAGTTCATTGAAATGGGTTTTCTCATTGTCAAGACAAATCTACTAGACAGTGGACATGACAGAATAGATATTATTTCTTAAAGTAACAAAGCTTTGGGAGAATGTAATTTTAATATAAGTTATATACGCACATATAAATTAAAAATTAAGTTTTTAATATAAATTTCTAATTTAACTGAGCGCTAAGATTGATAATTAGAATTTTGCTGCAACGCTAATTAATATTTTTTTACTAAATTTCTCGTAAAAAATATTGTTTTCAGGTTTATAAAATGCGCTTTTTTAACAACCAATTTTTAATTATTTTTGTTAAAATGTTTTTAAATTTATTCGAACAAATATATAATATGTAGTTTCGTAAGACAAAATAAAAACTTTATTGTAAAAATAAGTTTGTGTAATAATAAAAAATTGTATATTTCAATTTCTGCATATTTAATATTTATTTTATTTAAATAATATGTGACTATATCAATTTCACGAAAATATTTTATGTTTATTTAAATTATTACTTTCGTAGTGCTTGTTGTTTGTTACCTTATTACCAAAATGTTTATAAGTATTTTACATTACTCTCCGAGAAGAGATAAAATAGATAATAGATTATAGAAAATTCAGTATTTTTACTTGTTTTTCTTCGATCGTTTATAGCTGTATTAGATGTAATACAGAATGCATTCCGATATTCACGGTCAGTACTGAAAATCTATACCTTTCTATATTTTATGTCACATATACTATAGATTTTCAGTACTGACAGTTGCTGACAGTATAAAGTATAAGTATCGGAATGCAGCCAATTGCTGTAATACACAGTTAATGTGGGTAATTATTGGTGGTGAACGGAGGATTGTCAGGTGTCTGGACTCTAATGGGGTCGTAAGGATGTATAAGCGATAGCAGACGGTAATAACAAGATTTCTTCAGGGTGCAATGAAGAGTATCTGATGGCTTATCATGTTGCGTCTGGTCAGACATGATTAGTTTTCAGAGTGAAGGAACTTAGAGGATGGAACACCGGCGAAGTTAGGCTGCCGGGAATCGATATGCGAATGTAGAAATGTATAATTAGAATGTGAACTGAAACTGTCTGTGGTTAACCGAGGGATCGATGTTCCGGCATTATTGATCAGCGAATGCCGTTACGAATCCGCCAGACTCATAATATTGAAATTTTGCGCAAGCCTATATAATCATTACAAATCGTATCTAACAGCACAGAGTAATTATTTTATGAAAGAATTTTTATGTAATCTTACAGTGTGAGGAAGAATACTTTTCTAAAGTTATACTAAATGTATTTCTTAAAGAAAGTATTAATTTAATTTATTTGGAGATAATATTAATCACATCGGGACAATGAGATCATATAATTTTATTCAAAAGTTTTCAATGAAGATTTCAAGATGAGGGATTATGTTTTTGACAACATTTATCAAGATTCGTCTTCATCCCTTTAAATTGTCGAAGACTTTATGTAATCCCCAGAGTTGTTCAATTTTTCAACGTATTACGTTCGATCGGATAGTATAAGGATTGACGTAAATCTCACCTAATGCATGAGTCTGGGATTTAATTAGTTCAATGCTAACGCAAAAGCTCGTCGAGCGTAAACTTTTTTTCACACGTCATGCTGTCAATCTCATTGTAATCGTATAATTTATCTGTGACAATTAGAATTGCGAAATTTTTTCACGATTATTATTTTTATAATAAAATAAATTAAATCTTGCATTTTTTGCAAAATTAATTATGAACGTTACATATAATTGGATGGTATATGTAAAGCTTCTTTAATATCTTTTGTATTTATCTTTGTATTTATCCATCATTAATTTTACTACTAAAAAAGGAATTTAATTTATATAGAATTTTATTTCTAATTTTATTGTGTATAACAAAAAACATTTTAAAAATTAAAACACATGCATATAAAATTATAAAATAAAATTGAACTCTCACGAATTATATATTATCTAAAATGGATTTCATTAAAAATATAAATAATTGATGAAAATCTGTATTTTTTAAATGATTGTATTTTTTTGTCGAGGCATGATTTTTTGACAATCTGTATATAAGAAATAATGCAAATACCTGTTATTCATCCAGTAATATATGATCGGATTTACCATAGAGTTGGACATAGCGAGCCAGTAAAAACTTAAATATACATGTTGCACATAACTGCTCTCCGCAAAATGACGATGATGATACACAAAGATGAAAAATCCCTGATATGGCAACCAGCACACCGCAAATATTGTCACCACAATAATGAACATCTTTACCACCTGCAACCAGTTAAGAAAGGAAATATTAAAACAAAGTATAAGGCTATTATACACTCTTTCAACTGTGAACATTTTGATGAATTTGAAATTCCATGAATACAAATTATTTGAAACCACGGTTATATCCCAAAAGGATGCTATATATGTACCTATATATGTATATAGAGAAGAGGTTATCAAGTTTTTATAAAATTCGATAGATGCGATGCGATTTTTGCAGTTGCATAAAGACGATGTTTGCAAAAGGCATTAGTAACAATTAGTTCGCACCTAATTCCAAAACTTAAATCAACAATGTTCACTGTAGTCATGCTCTGTTAACCAACGCAACAGTATTAAGGAGTGCTTAATAGGAATCTATTGTTCTGAAGTTTACGCTATAATGTTCACATTGCGTTCGGAAATAGTTATTAATTTGATACTGCCAAAGTCCAAGAAGCATAATCTAACGTAAACTATACAAGTAAGCTTATTTATATTATTTTGATTCTCTTGAGATATTTAAACAGATAACCGTAAAAAACATCTGATTTGCATGCAAATGAATTCTAAGTAAAATTGCAAACAATTTTATAATCGTAATATGACGATGACCTACTTCATAGAAGCATGCTTTGAGATTTTCGAATAATTGAAGTGTAAAAATTTTCTACTTTATTTTTCTTTCATTTTCTGTGAAAATTTAATTATGCAAATTTTTCGATTTTTAATTTATCGTTATTTTTCAGATTTTTTTCATACATTATTGTCTTTTTGAAGAATTCGAAAAATTTGAGAGAATGCAATAATATGTAATATATAAGAATTTTTTTAAATATTTATTTTTAAAGTTCAGTAGGTACTTTGTAGTTGTTCATTGATATACATTTTACGCATTACTTACGTTAATGCATTGTATAGTATAGTTATTCTGATGATAATATGAAAATACTCAATAACGTACCTTGCGTTTAGATTTCATCGATTCTTTTTGGTAATGCGTAAGTTCACCAATCGATTTCGAGCCCCATAACTTTCGTCCCATGCACGTGTAACAAACAGCCATCACTGACATGGGAACCAGATACGTTACAGTGAGGAATAAGAGATTGTAGCTGTAGAATAAATGATTTATGTATAACCATAAAGTATGCCGAGACATATACTGAGACTTACTACCAAGTTTTATTAAAGCCGTAACTCGTTTCATAAGAAACACGCGGCTGAACGATTACTCAAGCAAGGAGGCAGGGAATCCGTTTTTATTAATTGAGACGTGTTTGAGTTTAAAATGCAATATGGTACGGTAGAGTAATTGCAGTATAGTATTTGTTATAAACATTTATATTTATTTCGAATTAGTATCGTATGCATTATGTATATCATTTTTTATTATTATTTACGATTCAATAATTCGATGTGTCTACTTACTTCATTCAATTCAAGAAATTAAACATGATCAAGAAGAAGTTTTATTAAAAAAGTTTCAGTATATACTAATCAGTATAACGTTTGCTGCAACAAGATTGAACGTTACATTAATTCAACATTACATTAATTATTAGTTATGTTATTTTTGGCTCGAGATATTACAGGAATTGTGTTTTAATATGTATGTTTGCATAATAATTGTGTTCTAATACAGATGCAATTTCGATTTTCTTCTTTCAAACACTTTTGATTGGAGTTTCAATTTCGAGTCCCAAGAGTGAATGTGGCAATCACAATCGTTGGATAAGTTAAATTGCACATAACAAAACCATTCTGATGAAATTACTTGGGATTTGTGATGGGATTATTGTGTGGAATTATAGATAGAATCTATGCAAAACTTGATTTCCATTTATGCGGCAATTGTATGTCACTCCCTGAGTCCTGATGAGTTTGATCGTCAGTGTTTTAAATTATCCTATTGCACGCTATTAGATCCAGCGATATTGTTACATCCGTTGTTAAATAACCTTAACTTAGGAGTTGCTTCGTAGATATGTAGGGACAGAGGTATTCTCTCTGTAAACTTTGGCACGATGTTCTTCGTAAGAGGAGAATAACCGTACTAACGATAGTAAGTTTCTAGACTATTCGACAAATGAAAATTTCTCGGATATATATCTAAAGTTCTACCTACGTGATGTATACGAAATGTTATCCTGAACTAACAATAAAATTTATGGGGATATTTAGTTAAAGATTAATATTTCCTTATAAAACACTAGATTATGGCCATTGCGGCCACTCTTCAGACTTTAAAAAAGTTAATAATTAAGTTTTTTAGTCAATAATTTCGTATATATTTAACAAGAATATCTTTTAGGAATATATTTTCATTATATACCTAATTATTCTCTTGCTACCTAAACATGCAAGGAATATATGATAACTGATATATTGTTTAGAACATCATAGATTTCAATAACTCTAAATGACAATTTTGAATAAGCAGAATTGTGTCTACATATTTAGACAATTTATTTCTCAAAGGAATCTACGTAAATCTTATAGTTTTTACGATTTATTCTATGTATTGAAGTTATTTTATTAAGCAATTTATATTATTTTACCACTTACCGCGAAACGAGATATAATGTTTTACCGAAAATACATTTTTAACGATTGCGATCTCTCTTTTGTGAGGTTATCGCGAACTAACAAGAATACGCTATAAATAAAATTGAAATAATAAAAAAATATATTATACTTATTTGATTCTATTACAGTTGAACGTTTTCTCTTAGGAAAATAATCCACATTTTCTATACAATATTCCTCTCGCCAATGAAAACTTTTCTTTATAAGGGAGAAAAATCTCGAATTTTGTTTTGTTCTCTAAATTAATCTCATCTTGTTTGCTATCCGTGCAGAAAACGGAAGCTGAAGCGTATTTAATATTGACTTTTCACGTCCAATACTAGTTTCGTGTTTTCAGCTTTTCATATATTTTCGTCAGACAATGTAATACATACTGTAAATCGGTTTTACTAAGTTTGGAAACAATCCGAAGTTATCTTATTTTTTTCAGTATTGAATCGCTATTTATTTAAAGGAAAGTTTATATTTTGTACATTTCGTTACATACTGTATGGACAGAAATCTTGCATTGTACTTTTTCTTCTGTCATATTTTAATTGAAATCTAATTCTGTTTCAGCAAATATTTGGCCTTTGCCTCTCAGCAACTTTTTCATTATTAATATCAAACAATTGTTTAACCATAGAATATCACTCTATTGAAGTCGATTGAAAAAATCAATTATAGTATAAATTACTCTTTAAATATTTTGTTCATATATTAAAATATATTCTGTGCGCATTATTTGCAGTTTGCGAATTAATTTTTTTACATATTTACTTTTTATAATTTTAAATTTGTTTTGCATAAGAATAAGTTATAGTAAGCAAGAAGATTATATAGTTGGACGTTTAATAAATAAATCTTTCTAATTAATAAATTGACATGAAATATGGCAATGCAATGAATCGAGTGCAATCATTCTAATTAGGTCGTGCTACTCTTATCGTCGCCGGTGATGCATTGATAGCAAATATATGGAGCAATTTCCCATTCCATCTCCTTAGGATAATCGTCTATTCAATCTCTTTCGCATTTGTAATGGATCGTGTACATGGTGTTTACAGAAACTTCTTTCTGCACGCGATTTCACGTGGCGCGCCGCCTTTCCTATTAAAAAACGCTGAACAGTCCCTGTTTGACATGTAAATTTACATATTTCTGAAGTCCATTACACCGAAACCCATCAAGTTTTGCATAAAGGAAATTCAATAGAAAGTTCACTACTTACCAATATTCTGTTTTGCTACGCAAATAGCCGCCATCGGGCCACAATAAGTAACAGGAAATTCTGGTTGTTCCGTTAGAATATCTGCAATTGATTATACGTCAATTTCTCGGAGGATATTGAAAGAAACATGGACAGCGGTAACAAATATTATCAGAAGACTAAACTTTTAAATGTATATAATCTATAAATCATAGGTACATATATATGCTCTTCGTGTTCTCGAATATTAATTATAAAGAGTGGAAAGTTTTATTTTTTGCAAAGTTTCTTGTAGGGATGTAGGGAAAAAAGTCCCTTTATCAAACCCGAGAAGAAATAGGTTTAGAGAGAGATGGATATAAAGAGAGAAAAACAATGTGAGGGTTAGAAGTTATTTGTATGGCACATTGGCTACGCGATAGGAAGCAGAGTAAAGAAATGTTCGCAAAAATAAATTTTTCTTCTTTTTTAAAAAATTTAGTAGAAAAAATTTAATAACAATAAAAATGTTAGATTTAATTTCCACAAAACGCGATTCCAGAATATTTCCAGTTTTAAGTTAGATATGGGTAATTATATTGCGTGCATAATGATGTTTAATGTAGTTTGCAGTACGATAATTTACCTTTTTTTAATAAAAAGCTATTTTTAGCTCGTTAAAATTTATGGAATTATTTATTACAGAGGAAAAATACAGTTGGCTCTGAAAACGTACGAACAGCTTTAGAAGCAGACGGTCGGCTTTAAAGGATAGGATCGGCTTTAAGAACTAGTAAACTAGATACATAATATGCTTATAATGAGAAATTTTGTAAAAGTAGAAAAAATTTTAGTCAGGCATTTTTATTAAATTTTACATTTCGGGAGATGGAAACAAAATGGACATTAAAATTTTCTTTTATTACAAATAGCATATTTCATTGTTTTTTTTAAATATCACGCTGCCCGAAGCAATCAGTATATATTATTGCAAAAAGAAGTAAACAAATAGAAAAATTCATAGGCGAGAAAAGAGTCAGCTTTTCTGCCGGCTCAGAACGATAAGAAACTTAAAGCTTTGCTCGGCTAAGAGCGGATTATCGAACAAGTATATAGTCTGCAAATTCTGCAGCGTTTAATGTTAAAATAAAAAAGAGTAGCAAATTCTCTTTTCAAATTTATACTGTCATTATTAAGACAATACTATCTTCAAATTTTAATCTGATACGCTTTGATCGACGTTATTCCAATTTTGGGTGACGTCTGATTTATCAATTTGCTTTTACTCACTTAAGCAAAATATGGAGTGCTACTTACTTTATTGCTTATTTTATCATCGATAATAATTTGCCCGAGAAATCTGACAGTGAAATGTATGTAGGAACGTACAATGCATAAACTCTGATGTGAAATAACCTAGGTGAAGATAAAACCGTGGAAATCTATAGGCGCTTTATGGCTATATTGATGCAGATGACATTATATGCGGGTAGATACGTACAAGCTTCATGAAACTAAGGCATTGTAATTAAGTCGTTACCTGATAAAGGGATTACAAGCCAAACCGTGTCCCGACTATAATACGTTTAACAAAAGCCTTTCTGTCATACGAAACCAAAATGTTTTAAGCTAAACGTATGGAATTTTTTATCAATTTCTAATAACAAAAATACAACATTACAAATTGTATATAATTAAATTGCCGGTAGTTTTAAAATTATGAGTTTTGATCTCTTTTCCCGCGGAACAGATATATGGGAAGGTAAGTTTTTACGGGAATGAAAAAAGTAGTGTATGATGCCGATATACTTTCATGCCCTGAATATATATAAAGTATCAGTTACACTTCAGTACTATCAGTAACATAATAATAATTTTATGGTATATACATTATACATGTACAGTAGATTCTTATGTAACACGGATTTGTATAATTTGTATAATACAACGGAAAAATTTTAATATGTGTTTGTCTTAAAGTAAAACAAAAAATATTTTACTGTTATCTATATCTTTAATATTTATTTCAAATTTTTTATAATAAATTCTTATATCTTTTATGAATAGATATGTGTTTCCATATACGCGTACATAATCCATATATGTATAATCTATGTGACCCGTATAATACGGATTCATATAACACGAAACTTATCCTCCGTGTTATACGGGGGTCTATTGTACTGTCTTCTCTTTTATCTCAAACATATCAAGGAAGTTTACATTACTATATTTATATGAATTTATTGATATTTTTAGTAACATTGAAAATAATCAAAACAATATATATATATATATATATATATATATATATATATATATATATATA